AATATAACATACTTTGGGGTTAGAAGATAAAATGCTTGAAGAGAAAAATTGTTAATAAAACATTTAAAAGGACCCTATCATTTCAGAATTTATAAGAACAAATGTTTTAGATTTTAACATTTCTCTTGTTTGGAGACTCCAGATGAAATAATAGTTGTGCAAATACTTTGTAAAAAGTGAATCATTATGTAAACATCATATTTTGGAAGTATTTACTAGTATAATATAAAACATTATTTTCTTGGCTTGAAATAATAAAAGAAAAATTTCACCACTGAGAATAAAGAAATAAAATCAATTTTTGTACTTATCAAATTTGACAGATTCATGACACATCAATAAGAAATATTTTAAAACCCATTTTATTGTAACAAAGATGAACCACACTTTTGAAAGATTCAGTTTTTAACAGCTAGAAAGGCACATCAGTATTTTAATTTCTGTAATTCATTTTTGATTCCCAAAGTGATGACTGTAAGATCAGTAATGGGCACACAATCACACAGCCTGAGAATGTACTAATTCAAACTATTGCACTAGTTTCATCTGGTCAGTCAATTTGTTATTATCCAAATCAAAGTAGCCTGATAAGGCTGTTTATTTCACAAGTCATTCATTATAAAATAAGAATAGGTTTCAAAACTATATCAAATGTTGTAGGAATATACCACAAAAAATAGGCTAAGTTTCTCCACATGATCCCCCAGTCTCTCCCTTTAATCCAGGTAAGTATTTTTTTCTGAAATTTTCTTTATTTAATTTCAATATCCCTGTTAGAGATTTCCATGTTAGCTCGCATATATCTTCTTTGCTCATTTCATGTATTCTTATCTAATTTAACTTAACCTAACCCAGGTAGCTTCCTTCTCAAAGCCTTTCTCCAGTAGTGTTTGGGTTTCTAAATACCCTTTCAACCCTAACTATTATGAGATGACAAAAGATGGGCAGTAAATATGTTCCCAACAGAAACAGGTGTTGGCAACCTAATGGATTAAAAAGTCCCAAACTGGAGATACCACCAAGACCCAACTTGAAAGTATAATGTTTCCATTTATTACAACAAAAGCAAAGATAAATAGATGGGACTTAAACTAAAAAGCTTCTGCACAGCAAAAGAAATAATCAGCAGAGTTAACAGACAACCCACAGAATGAGAGAAAAACTTCACAATCTATACATCTGACAAAGGACTAATATCCAGAATCTACAAAGAACTCAAACAAATTAGCAAGAAAAAACAATCCCATCAAAAACTGTACTAAGGACATGAATAGACAATTCTAAAAAGAAGATATACAAATGGACAACAAACATATAAAAAATGCTCAACATCGCTAATGATCAGGGAAATGGAATCAAAACCACAATGCAATATCACCTTAATTCTTCAAGAATTGTCATAATCAAAAAATAAAAAAAATAATAGATGTTGGCATGGATGTGGTGAAAAGGGAACACTTTTACACTGTTGGTGGGAATGTAAACTGGTACAACCACTATGGAAAATAGCGTGGGGATTCCTTAAAGAACTAAAAGCAGATCTACCATTTGATCCAGCAATTCCACTACTGGGGATCTACCCAAAGGAAAAGAAGTTATTATATGAAACAGATATTAATACTTGCACACATATGCTTATAGCAGCACAATTTGTAGTTGCAAAAATATGGAACCAGCCCAAATGCCCATCTATCAACAAATGGATAAAGAAAATGTGGTGTATATATACTATGGACTACTACTCAGCCAGAAAAAGGCATGAAGTAATGGCACTCCCAGCAACTTGGATGGAATTGGAGACCATTATTCTAAATGAAGTAACAGAAATGGAAAACCAAGCATCGTGTGTTCTCACTCATAAGTGGGAGCTAAGCTATGAGGACACAAGGCATAAGAACGACACAACAAACTTTGGGGACTCGGGGGAGAGGGTGGGAGGAGGTGAGGGATAAAAGACTACACACTGGGTACAGTGTACACTGCTTGGGTGATGGGTGCACCAGAATCTCAGAAATCACCACTAAACAACTTATTTGTGTAACTACACACCACCTGTTCCCCCAAAACCTATTGAAATAAAAAATAAAGAAAAGAAACAAATAAATCATAATAAAGCTTTCCTGAAGACCAAAAAAACTAAATATAAAAAATAAAATCTCTAGAAATAAACCTAGACAGATATGTGATGAGAAAAAAAAAAAGAAAATTAATGTTGCCATTTATAATTACCCAATGTCATTCACCAGTCTAGCTGGCTATTGCTTTAGACAAAATGATCACTAATTACAGCAAAAGGCTATGAGCCACATTTTCAAAAAAAGTTTCAAGGAATTATTTCTTAGCATCATAGTCCCATCTTATATACCATATCGTATCAATACTTTACATTACTGCAAACTTTAGAGGTGTTCTTCGGCCTCTTTTCAATGGTTTCCTTTCATTTGTTAATGTTATCCCTTTATCTCTCTGCACTAACGGTAGCATCACACGCCCACATCTGATATAGTTATAGCACCCAGAGCAGAACTTACAATGGAGAACATGATCAATTCTTCCAAAAGCACTGTAGGCCTACCCAGAAGCACAGTCATTATCTTAGGTGCTTCTGTCTAATGATAGAAAAAACTTTTTATAATATGTTTGCATTAGCATTTTTCCAAAAAACCTGAAATTTATTTTACTCCAGAAAGACATTAAGTTGTTTCTGCATTCAAAAAACTCTTAATGCAATAGTTCAGTATACCCAAAACTTATGCTATCTCACTGTAGTATCATTCACCTTGGTTTTTGTTACTCCCAAAGGATAAAATCTCATTTGTGCAAATTTACAAAATATCTTTTTATAAAAATCTTTTTTTGCAAACAAGTAATGAGTAGAGCTAAAGTTCCCAAGGGGTTTCTGTTTTACACAAAAACAAAATTTGTAGTACTGAAATATTGAATGACTAAAATCTATATTTACCTGTTTAATCACTTGCCTTCATAAATCCTCTAGACCTGATATCCCTAATTAACATTCATAGCATCCCAGGTGTTCACAGATGTGTTAACTGCTAATGCATACTTATCTATTTCAACGAATTAAGAAAACATGCTGAGGGTTTTATTTTGCAGTGTGGCCAAATTATGCTTTGCTGTTTACATCATTGAAAGAACTAAAAGGGTTTTCCTATCTGAGATTAAGCCCCAATATCTCACTTGAACCCATAATAAATAGAAACTAGGGAGATAAGAAAATCTTATACTGGGATTGAACAAATGAGTAAATTAACAGTGGATAGTGGAATCCAGGTTTCTCTCTGCTGAGAGGTTATAGATAAGTTGGAAGTCAGAATGAAACATGTGGTATGGGCTTGGGGTCAAAGACATCAGTGTGAATTCATGTTTAACTTAAAATATATACAGACAGATAAATACAGAAATGATTTTGTATATGTGTGAACACATGGGTTAGTATACATACATATATGTCCTAGCTCTGTCCTCTGAGAGGGCCTTCTAGAAGCCATAACATCCCAGGATGAATGAGCACACCCAATGCCCAGATCTTGGTTTCTAACACCATTCTCCAATGAAAGGAACTGGGGCTCCTTGAGAAATGACTGACTCTAAGGCTGAGACAGAAAATATACAAATGACCCTGGAACATCACGTAGTACCAGAAAGTAAAGAAGTGCTAAGTAAACAAAATGATGGGGACCTGCCAAAGGTATACATGAATTAACCTGAGATTATTCAAAGGGGGAGAAGAGACAAATCTCCCATGTAGAAAAATTCCAAATAATTTACATAGATACTTACCCCTCAAGGAAGCAGAGTTTAACTTCCCATCCCTTGAATATGTGCTGCACTTACTAACTTGCTTTCAAGTACTGGGGAGTAGGGAGACTAAATTTACAGTAGAGAAACTTGGCAAACACTACCTTGACAGGTGGTCAGGGTTAACATCATCATTGACCAGTCATGTTGATAGCATCTACACTTGATGTTATGTGATAAGAAGGACACTTTATCTCTGTGGTATTATTTCTAAAATCTCATAATCCGAGACTGATTGTAAAAAGAAAACATCAGATAAACCCAAATTTAGATAGTTCCACAAAATATCCAACCAGTACTCCTCAAAATTATCAAAGTCATCAAAAATTTTTCGTAATCTAAGAAACTTATCACAGCCAAGCAAAGTCTAAAGAGACATAATAACTAAATGTAATGTGTTTTCCATGTAATGTGTTGCCTATGTAATGAGATCCTGGAAGAGAGAAAAAAGAACTGGATCCTGGAAAAGAAAAGTCTGTTAGGAAAAAAATAGTTAAATCCAAATAAAGTGTGACATTCATCATACTCACCAGTGCTGGTTCCTTAGTTGTGACAAATATACCATTCAGAACAGGGGAAACTGGATGAGGAGTACATGTAAACTATCTGTACTATCTGATACTATCTTTGCAACTTTTCTGTAAACCTAAAACTATTCTAAAAGAAAATTTTATTTAATTTTGTTCATGTGAGAGCAAGTTTCAGTATGTTTCCTAAAATAAGAAACTTTGAATTAAAAGTTGTTTTGCTCTGGGAAAATCAATACAATAGACATCTTAGTTATGCAAATATAATACAAGTACGTATTTTTCATTTTTACAGAAGATCTAAGTGCACTGAAATAACCCAAATGTTAGCTATTTCAGAGGAAGAAGGTTAGCAGTCTGTTTGGTTAGGTAAGCTGACTATGTAATAAGTTTTGCCAACTTATGACTATGCAGACTTTGTTTTTTTTTTTAATTTGCAAAGAATATGTATGAGTGGTTTAAATTATTGGGTGTCCAGTACAGATGAGAAGTCAAGCTGAAGAAGACCTCAGGAAGAACACATAAATAATTGTAGATCAACTGCCACATACTACACCATCATAGACTGGACTAGTGAAGGCTGTGGCAACATCTAACTATAGTTGACTGTTTAGGAAATTAAAACATACTCTTCAAATACTTATTTCTACTCACATAATTGGGAAGAGACATGTCCTTCTGCATTTTCATTCAAATTCTCCTCCAAAGCCAAGCAAAACTGACTCTGTTCTTATATACGGGTGCTGAGATCTGAAAAGACCACAAGATAAACGTGTTGATCAAATCTAAATTTATTAGCTGATCTTTGGAGAAGTAGACAGTCAAGAGTCTGGTTATTTATTCTGAAGAAAATAGTTTTGGCTAATGTTGCTCTTGATAAGAATTAAGTCTCTAAATTTGAAATAATGAGTTACAAACTCAAGTGTCTATCAGGTTTAAGCAGATATCACAAAACAGGAATCAAGGAAAATAGAAATCAAGTTTAGACAGACCCTGTTTAAAAGTAGTGGTGACCATTAGCACCAATCAACTGCTACCTTGTGAAAATGTAATGGGTATTTTTTTTTATTATTATACTTTAAGTTGTAGGGTACATGTGCATAACGTGCAGGTTTGTTACATATGTATACTTGTGCCATGTTGGTGTGCGGCACCCATCAACTCGTCAGCACCCATCAACTCGTCATTTACATCAGGTATAACTCCCAATGCAATCCTTCCCCCCTCCCCCCTCCCCGTGATAGGCCCCGGTGTGTGATGTTCCCCTTCCTGAGTCCAAGTGATCTCATTGTTCAGTTCTCACCTATGAGTGAGAACATGCGGTGTTTGGTTTTCTGTTCTTGAGATAGTTTGCTGAGAATGATGGTTTCCAGCTGCATCCATGTCCCTACAAAGGACACAAACTCATCCTTTTTTATGGATGCATAGTATTCCATGGTGTGTATGTGCCACATTTTCTTAATCCAGTCTGTCACTGATGGACATTTGGGTTGATTCCAAGTCTTTGCTATTGTGAATAGTGCCGCAATAAACATACATGTGCATGTGTCTTTATAGCAGCATGATTTATAATCCTTTGGGTATATACCCAGTAATGGGATGGCTGGGTCATATGGTACTTCTAGTTCTAGATCCTTGAGGAATCGCCATACTGTTTTCCGTAATGGTTTTTAAGAAAAAGAAGAAAAGCCTGATTTTTGTCATGAAGGTTTTGAAATATTAGCCTTGGTTTAAAAAAATGTAAAACACTGCATGGGCCAAATGAAATATATCTGTGATATTAACTTGTACTAAAGGCAATTAATTTATAATTTCTGACCTAATTATACCAGTATAATTCTGGATTTTTATTGTTTATTGTTGTGAGGCTTTACCCAGGATGTTCAAATATACAATTAACATACATGTGTCTTCAGTGTGATGAAAGAATCAAATTCAGAAAAGGTTGTAGAATTGTTACCAAAACACGAGTGGTCCTGTCTAGGTCCTGTTGTTCATCAGACAGAAAGCCAATCACTGAGCCAACAAGTATTTTCAGGGAAGAAGGCTTTAATCAGGTGCTGCAGCTGAAGAGATGGGAGATCAGTCTCAAATCCATCTCCATGACTGATTAAAATTGGGGGTTTATATGCAGGAAATAAGTGTAACCCTGTGTGGCAAAACAGAAATTAGGAAGGGGTAAGGAAGAGGAGTTGGTCAACAGGAAGCAAGTGGCCCATTAGGCAATCATGCTGAGTGAGGGGTCTGGCATCTTATTGTCCAGATGTGACAGCCTAAAATAGGTTCATTTCCACTGTGACTGCCTCAGCTTATCTCCTAATCAGTTTCTCTGTCATTCCTATGTACATATCCGGCTTCTGTCTCACTGCCTTCCTGTCATCCTCCACCACAGTGCTTCTCCAGTGATGTTTCTAGTGGCGTACCAATGGCAGGACAGTGGGAGCAATTCACCCCAGTGCAAGCCATAAGGTGGGCAAATACAAAGGGAATTTAAAACAATAATAAAACTAAAAGTCAGTCTGCCTTTTATCATATCCATGGGTATGTGAGTCTAAACAACATCAGTGATACGTTACTACTCCCCCCAAAATATTTTCTTGGCCTAAGTTCTAAACAATTGTGATTACTAACGAGTTTTAACATTATATACATCAGCTTCAAATTAGCACATTTTAAATTGTGTATTTAGTAGACAATTTACTTTCATAAACATTTTTTACAGAGAAAGTAATCAGAGAATTTCCAGTTGTACAGTCAACACCCTAAAATGTGTTTCCCTCATAAGCTTGTAACAATTCAAGTATTTTTCAAGCTCCTTTCAAGAGCAGTTTTTATGTCTAGACTCTTAGGTGTCATACATTCCCACTTTTAAATACAGGCAGTCCTTGGTTTGCACAGCACTGCAGAACTGAAAAAATTGTCATGTAAGCGGAAACCATGCAAAAAGATCTTTATCATCAAAAGGTAGAAGTAAGATTCTTCTGTGACTTCTAAACTTTTTGGTTGAGACATTAAAAGTTCTTTTACTCTCAGTTCTAAATGAATAGAGAAATGAAAAAGAGTAAAACTGATATTTTTTTAGTACACTGTAATTTAAAGCATTGGAAACATAGTGAATTAGTGTTTTATTTCTTTGTTTAAAAAAAAACTTACCAAGAGTAGTTTGAATGGTGTTTTCTTTCTTCTTCTCCTATAACTTATTTTTGGAATGAGCTTTTTCTTTCTATCCCTTGACAAATTGTTATCCTACTTTGAAGTTTGAATCAGTTTCCAAAATTTTATCCTTTGCATTTTCAACATCATGAAATATCTCCAAGAGTTCCCTTCATGTGAAGTCCCTAGTGCCACTTCCTCAGGAACATCTTTATGTTTTTTGTCACATCCACTTGCCTAATTTATGTCCATAAATTCACCTTCACCAAGTTCCTCTGGCTGCATATCTTAAGTCTCAAATGATGGTTGTGTCAGCATTCCCAGGGTCAGCTATTTCTTCTAAAACTCCATTCATGTTTGATATCAGTTTCATTTCTAGCATTATCATTTTTGTTCCTTTGTTACACTTTCATCTTTGTTGACCAATATACTGTTTTGACTATCCATTTTTGTAAAAATATCTTGTGGACTATCACAGGACAACAAGGATGCAACACAACTACACACTGTACTATCTGTGCATGTACTGCATAACAGATGCTTGGTGATCAGTCACGAACAGACTCTTAAAGAAGTGTCATGATTGGTCACCAATCATGATGTGCATCTTTTATTTATGTAGTGATTTGTGAGCTGAAGAGCTGGCTGTAAAGTGTATTTCATGCAATTACTCACAGTTAATAAACCAAACTGGTAATTGAAATGTGAAACCTTGTTGTTGCAGGACTGGTGCTATTTAACTAAACTGTGATAACTGAAATTCTTGTCCATCAGAACTGTACAACACAAGGACTGCTAAAGGAGATTCACAACAAACAATGACAGTATAGGGATTTCAAGATGAATAAACAGAACTCGAGTTACTTCTGTTAGTCATTCTAACTGACCACTTGGAGTTTGGATTTGTGTTTAATGTTTCAAACAGTGAAAAGAGTACAGACACTGAGGTTTTGTTTCGTAGGTGTACATTTTAAGCTCATACAGAAACTATTTTATTGAATTTGAATAATATCTTTAAAATCAAAATTTATTCTTATTTTTCAATTTTTAAAAAAATAATCAGAAAAATATTACTAAAATTAATGTTGTCATATAGAGGAGGCAGTTGTTAAAAAATGATGTATTCTGTGCATTAAATGTGATAGGCACACAACTGGATCTTTCTAAAAGACAGATCTGATTTTGTCATTCCGCTGACCAAAAGTTTTCACGATCTTATCATCTGTATGATTAATTCTTAACCAATATCACTTGCAAAACTTCTCAAAAATACAGATTCCTGGGATTTAACACATAGATTCCAAAGCAGTGGGTCTGGGCTAGGGTCTGAGAAACTGTTATTAAAGCCCATGGGTGGCTCATACAGGTGCTGATTCACTGACATACAGGATTAATTCTAAATTCCTTAGCATGGAAAAAAAGGATCCTTAAGATCTGACCCCTGTATACCTGTATAGAGTTGTCTCCTGCTACTGGTTTCTCCCTCACATTTTATCGCTTACAACTGTTTATAGCTACTGAGCCAGCCCTGTGTACGTTTTGTTCCAGCTTCCATGGACTGCTCTAGTCCCCAACCTCATGCCAAGGTCCACTTAGAAAATACTCATTTCCATGTAAGGGTCAGCTCAAGGCTTATGTCTTTCAAGCATGCCTTCTGTTGGGCACCTTTGGGGCCTTGTCTATACTCTGTAGCAATTACATCATCACACTGTACTAACTGAATAGTTCTGTGCTAAACTTCTTGAAATGGCATATCTTTATCATTTATCTATTTCCAGCATTTAGCCCATTGCTGTTTATTTCTGGGTGTGTCTTTTAGGAATGCTGTCCACTAAAAGTAACAGAAAGCTAACACAGGCTTAAACAAATAGAGGTTTGTAATTATCATATAAAAAGTCTTGAGGGAAGTGGCTACTGGTGGGGTTTCATTAGCTCAACAATGTCAAGGCTGGCTTCTCTGTGACTCTCTTGGCCTCTCTCTCATACCTGGGGGGCATCATGGTTGTAAGATAGTGGTTGCAGCTCTGCACATCGCAGTCACAGGAAGGAGGAGGAAGGTAGTTGTACAAATTGTGCATATGCTGTTTAATCATTATAGCAAATTTTTTCAGAATTCTCCCAGCAAACTTCCACTAAGAGGTGTCATTTGCCAGAACTGGGCCACATGGCCACCACTAGCTAGAAGGGAGGCTGGGAAAGGAGAGGATGGGATTGATGTGATTCACCTAGAACAGGATTCCCATGATTAAGTTAAAACGTTAGATCAATCATGACCCATGGCCTCAGGTGGCACATCATTGCTGTGAATAAACTTGCAGTTCAATTGGCAAAAAAAAAAAAAAAAAAAAAAGTGGAAATGAATGAGTATACAATTACCAGCTCTGCCACAGTAGGTATTCTATAAACTTTATAAGTATAAATGAGTGAATAAACAAATGCATGAAGCATGAAGAAGTAAATATTAATCTTTGCAATAAGGACAGGTAGGTAGTTCTTGTAACTGATTAGGGTAGAAAAGGCAAGAGTAAATACTGATGCAGAGTGATACAAATAAAAGAAAACTCAACTCTACAACTTAAGGCAAAACAAAACAAATAAAGGACATAATTTATGAGTCTATATAGCTTCATTCACTGACAGAAGCATCGGGCAGCTCCAGGCTTATATCCTCACAGGTTCAAGTTCAGGGGAAAGAAAGCACCACAGGAGCCACAAAGAAAGGCATAAGTTTACGGTCAGACTACAGTCACGTGGCTACCCTGAATCCAGGGGTCAGGACTAGTCACAGCCAAGACTCATAGACCAAGTAGGAGAAGGGTGGAGAAAAAACAGGAGCTATTATCAGCAGAAGAAAGGATGGATTGGATGATTGGCAGCCAAAAAGAATAGATGTCACCTCAAACAGAACCCACAAATGAGGACCAGGCATTCAGAAATGAGCATGAGAAGTTAGCAAGGCAGGTGTATGGGTTCAGAGTCAACACGATTTGACGTCACTGCCCTCCATGTGACACTCCCACATCACTTAGTAGAGGAGCTGGCAGCACCTAGAATATATCCTCTCAGCTTATCTTTCCTTGAGTGGTTACCTTTACAAAGCAGCAGTAAGAGGATAGATTAAATTAATCCTTCTCAACTTTTCATCAGAATATTCCCTACAGCCATGAAGGGTGAGCACTCTGGAATTTGGGGCAGAAGGTGGTGAAACGGAAGGCTGGCAGAATATTTTGGAGCTGTCTGCTGCAAAACTAAAATTTATTTGAAGTCTTGTGCTTTTTACTTCAGATGTTTAACTTTGAATTTTATTCCATAGAATATCCATGTTATTTTTTAAATGTTTTAAATTACTAATAACTTAATAGTTTCTCAATTTTTTTTCCCAAATAAAATTGACCTCCTAAATGACATACCAGTTCGTTCACTTTGGCACACAGCTATTTACCCCTGGACTACACATATCACAGTTCAAGAATCATGGGATTAAGTAAACTCTGCACATTGTTTCCAGCCTGTTTCTCAGGTAGCTGTTTTCTGGCAGTGGCATCCACCTATTAAAGCTCTCATTAGCCATAAATGTTAATACAGATGGTTCCCAAGTTAGGATTTTTCAACTTTAAGATGGTGTGAAAGCGATAGGCATTCAGTACACCCCTCAGCTTATCCAGATAAACCCATGGTAGGTCAAGGAACATCTGTAAAACTGCCATCTATTGAATACCTACCACATTCAAAGCAATTTTATATATTTTCTCATTTAATTTTCCCAATAATTCTGAAAAGCAAGTATCATCTCCAAATACACAAGGAAGGTGAAAGTCACAGAAGTTCACTAACACTGAGAGTTAGACGTTTAGATAATAGGATCAAAACTCAGGACTCTGACTCTAAAGCCTGTGTCTCTTCCATGTCTTTCTTCCTCTCCCTTCGAATTGCTTCTTTACGCTTGAGGAACATGAACCTTGAATAAGAAACAATCTACAAATTTAAGCAGTATACAGAATAACTAATAATGCATTATCCTACACACTCTGAGGCCTCCTGCACTAGGGCAGTGTGGAATAGTGTAGTAGACCTGGAATCAGGAATCCTAGGTTCTCTTGTTAACCCCACCTATAGCAAACTGTGGGGCTTTGGAAAAATACTTCTCTGGACCTGAGGCTCTTGATCTGCAAAATGACAGTGGGACCTGGTCATTTTTGCAGTCATATTCAGCTCCAGAGTGCTAACCTTTCAACATCAGTTCCTCAAGATTCAGCCGTCTAAGTGCAGACTAACCAAGTCTTATATGCCTATTAAATGTAATATGCCCTCCAAAAGAGACCAGAAAGATCTAATTATAGACACACTCTCAAAAACGGTATCAGATGAATGCGAACTCCAACCCAAACTTCTGAGAAAATAATCATAACAGTACTAGGATGATAATAACTACTTATTGATTGTTAATCACATCCCAGTTACTGTTCTAATGTAAGTACTATCTCCTTTAACCTTTGTAACAACCCTACACAAAGTAGATCCCATTATCATTCCCATTTTACAGGTGAAGAAACTAAAGTACGGTACATTTAAGTAACTGCCCAAGATCACAAAATTAACGGCAAACTCAGCCATTAATTATGTATAATGTAATTATGTGTAATGGCAAACCCAGCAGTCAGACTCCGCAGTCTGAAGCGAGATGATCATGAAACACTGTCTCCCTCCTGACCAGGCTGTTCTCATTGAGAAATGTGCACTTGAAAAGCTTCCTGGAGACAAAAGACCTTATCACTAATGCTGCACCGCAGATTGATTTAAAACACCAAGTGTTTTATTATGCCAGCAGATGCATGCCAGAGTTATGACAATGTCAATTAATGTCTTACTGGCTTTGTTAACCTTGCTGGAGTCTGTGGAGATTGCAATGGTGAGGTCTGAGAGAAAGACTGAGCTGGTGGGAAGGAGTCTGGTTGCAGTTAGGAGGCAGGCACAAGGATTCCCTGCATCATAACCATATGAAGGCTGATGGGAAAGTAAATTACTATTAGTATTCATCAGCACCAGTCAGACATGCCTAAAGATTGGCTTTCAGGTTAAGTAGAGAATACTAAACTTTCTCAATAATATTCATTCAGTAGTTGTATTCACACATTTTTACACTGCTGTAAGAAACTGCCCAAGACTAGGAAATTTATAAAGGAAAGAGGTTTATTTGACTCACAATTCCACATGGCTGGGAAGGCCTCAGGAAACTTACAATCATAGCAGAAGGCAAAGGGGAAGGAAGGCTTGTCTTACATGGCAGCAGGTCAGAGAGAGAAAGAAAGAGAGAAGCGGGGGGAAGAGCCCCACACTTACTAAACAATCAGATTTTGTGAGAACTCTTATCACGAGAACAGCAAGGTTAAAGTCTGCTGCCATGATCCAATTACCTCCCACCAGGTCCCTGCCTTAACATGTAAGGATTACAATTCAAGTTGAGACTTGGGTGGGGACACAGGGCCAAACCATATCAGTAGTGCTTTGCAAGCTCAGTTGAGTAATGCATTTTTTCATGGAGACTGTTTTGGGATGGTATGCTATGGAATACATTTTGGAAAATTCTGCTCCATTGAATATAGCAAGCTTTAGCCAGTGGACCACCCAAAAATGAACAAGTGCAATAAAGAGTTCTTAGCTTTCTATGCTACCCATCCAGGAGGCCCTGGTGCCCCAGACAGCTGAAGCATTTAAGAGAAAGTAGATCCTCATGTTTGTTGAACCTCACTCATACCAAGGGCAAGACAGAAATGTCTCCATCAATATGCAAAACTTTTTACTTTTAATTTCACATTTATTATAGATAAGACATTCTGATAGGCACTTTATACACCTTAAATTGTTTCAAGTTTAAGCACCTATATAATTTTTAGATGTATAAAAGATAATTTTTAAAAATAGAACACTTGCTGGTAGCCAACTTAGTGTTAAGATTATTTTCTTAAATTCAACTAGTTGATTAAAATTAGGTGGAGGGAATGAGGGATTGACATGAGGTGATGTATTTTAATGTACCTACTTAATAGAATTGAAAGATCCCAACAGGTTCTTCCTGCTCAATACACAAACAAAGACCACAGCATTACAGTAAAGAAAAAGTTTAATTGACACAAGGCTGGCCATGCCATGTGGGAGACAGTTATTACTGAAATCAATCTCTTCTTAAGTTAGGGGTTTTCCAAAGGTAGTTTGGAAGAAGAGGTGGAGGTGGCTAGGCAATGGGTACTTACCGCTGATTAGTTGGGGGAGCAGTCATAGGGATATAGGAAATTATCCTCCTGCTGGCTGAAGTGCTTCTGGGTGGAGACACAGGAGTGGTTGGCAGGTCCAGGTAGAGCCATCATTGGTGTCGGACAAGCAAAAAACCTGAAAAGTTATTTCCAAAGGGCAATCTTAGATTCTACAATAATGATGTTATCTGCAGAAGTAATTGAGAAAGTTGCATATCTTGTGATCTCCAGAAAAAATGGCTGGCAATGCTCATATGTTAGCAGAATCCAGGCTTCTCTATCTTCCTAACCTGGTGGTCTCTCATTAAGCTTTACAAAGATGGTTGTGTTTGGGGGAATGGCTATAATCATATAAACTATAAATATCTCCCACAGCTAGCCCAGCCTATGCCCATTAACAATTAAGGCAGCTCGAAGGATAAAGGCAAGAGGGGATTGTCTAGATCATATCTCCTCCACTGTCATAATTTTCTTACTGTTATAATTTTTGCAAGGGCAGTTTCTGAATTGTCACAAACATCCTACCCAAAGCAAAGAACTTGCTATTTTCTATTTTTATCTTTCTTTTAAAAAATAATTTCAGATTTTGAGTCAAAGATAGAGCTCATTTTTGCCACTGAATTCTGTAAGAATTTCTGTCAACGAGGAAGTCTTCATTAGATCAGTGAATCTCAGATATTTATAGTCCTTGGAAGAAACAGGTTATCAAAAAAAGAGGGAAAATGAAAGATGGTTCCTTTAGGAAATGAACAAAGAAGGAAGATATGTCCCAACCACAAGAAGCAAATGGAAGGAAATGGCTGGCTTCAGAATGTTAATATCATCACTGCAAATTCGTTTTCATATAAGTAATTAATCAACTTTTGTCACTTTTTGCGATTCATTGTGAACATTCTGCATGAGGTCCATCCTTCACTGTGCTATTTCAAGTTTAAAAGCCTGAGGCTTTTAGAACTTGCCTTATGACATTGTCAAGGCCCTTTTTATAGACTAATTAACATGCCAAGAATTTCAAGTCAACAAAAGATACCATTTTTTAGTTTTCAAGAACTTTTTCATGCCCACTTCAAGCACTTCTTGCATTTCTGGCCCTCTCTGCTGATACCAGCCTCACTGGAGGGACTGGCTTTAAGTTTCACGGAGGGCTCCACCCTTCCTGTTCACTCAGTGGGACCATTCATGAAGGGAAATAATGACATTACATTATGCAAGTTTCCCTATGTGTAACTTTTCCTAATAGAGCCTTTTTGATGGAATTTTTAGGATCCACGCTCACCGAGATTAAGCTACATATTCTAAGCTAAGGACCACACTAGACTGGAGCAAATATAATAGATCTCAGCATGGATTGCCTTGGTACCAGAGTCCCTAACAAGCCCACATGCTGCCAGTCACATTGTTCACACAGACTCTTGGGGAAACTGAAACACTCCATCCTGGCTTTAAGTTACCACCACTATCAAACTACCACCCTTTTCTATTAAGGCTTAAATTGCCAATATAACAATACAGAAGAACTTATACTCACAAGCATTAACTTCTGTTTAAAGGGATATTTACAAACAACAGGATTTCTTGTTTCTTGAACCTAACTTAGCAGAAGATGAGTTCTCACCCAGGGGAGAAATTTTATATACAGTTTATTAGTAGTTCTATTACATATGTAAATGTACCCATTATAGAATATAAAGAGAAATAGAAAAGAGTAAAAATAATCACTCATAAATACCAATATTAACAATTTAAATAGGCTTCTTTTCACCTTTTCTCTCCTATAACTTGTATTATAGGAAAATGAAAGTAGTTGAAACTGTAAGTGAATTCTGGCCAAATGTTTTTCCTAAATAAGCCAGCCAAAAGATGCTCTCCCCCAAGTCCTCTGAGATCAAATGCTGGATGAGAGGTACTGCACCTCACCCCAACCACCCACATGGAAGCAGGACTCAAGAAGTCATGAGCTGCACATTTCTGATTTTGCTCACAGTCAAGCTGCGCAGGCAGAAGGGGTGAGGATTATTAATCAGATAAAGTGAGATGAACTACCAGCTCTCTCTCCTCTGCTCCTCAAAGAATTCCTTCACTTCCTCTGCCTGTTTCCTGTCCTCACCCAGGGTGGCCCATGTTCTCCCATGGCGCTCTCCTCTGCTACTCGGCTGCTCCCCTGAAGGGCATGCCCAGAGCCTCCCGGTGCCCACAGCATCTGGTGCTGCTTCAAAGCCAATCACTAAACCAGCCAACTATCTGCCCTTGCGGTTTGCCCAGGCGAATCGTTCAAGGCCACTCGTGTCAAACTGGAAGCTCCCGGAACCTCTGTGCAAATGAATTCTAAAATCCTCCGTACCTTTACAGCAATCTCACAGAGATTTATCTTGTCACAAAGAGGAAAACATAAATCTTCCTGCCATCACTGAGGTACCCCAAGTGTGACTGCCTTTACTGCACCACTCAAAGAGTGAACTCTGCATGAAAAATAAAATTTCAGTCTTAACATTAGCTTCACTGTGAAATGGGTTGGAATTCTTCAAGAGACTAATTTAAAAATGAACTCTGAGAATCTGAACAAGCAGTATCTGAAAGGGAAACCTTAAATGATACATAAATAGGTGAAAATACGTTCAACCTCATTAACAATCAAAGGTATGCTAAACAAAACATACATGTTTTTGCTTATCTAACTAGAAATGATTTTTTAAAGTTATATTTGATGTCAGTGTAGAATGTCGGGAAACTTGTTAGTCAGGTTTCCCTGTTCGTCAGGTTTCCCCACATTCTCCTGGTGGGAGATTGGTAAAAGCAAATTGGGGAACTTGTATTAACAATGTGGAAACTATGCATAACCTCTCAGTTAGCAATTCTACTTATGATCCTAAGGATAAACTTAGTAGTATGCAAGAAGATTTGATAACAGCAAAAACTGGAAAAATATACAAGAATAAGTAGTTATTAAATACGGTATCTTCACTTGACAGAATACTCTGCAGCCATTAACAAGGAGCTGAAGGAAGAGGTTTACACATGATAAGAAAACTAGTTATGAAACAACACATACAACATAGCCCCAGTTTAGTGGAAATACATACACCTAGAAAAGGGTTTAGAGAGGAGTCATCAGTGGTTATCTCACAGTGGGGTGGACACAAGGCTAGCAGGATGGCATGCAGTTAAGAGTAAGGGGATTGAACATACTTGGATGCATATCCTAACTTTACCACTCTGGGAACTGGGGCAATTTTCTCACAGACTCCTTATTTGTAAAATGGGGATAATGTGACTTCTTAGGGCTTGTTAAAGGATTAAAAGAAATGGTGTTAATAAAGTACACAGCACAATATTTGGTACAAACAAAAACTAACTTATAGATCTACAGATTTTTTATCTGTAATTGCCAATTTTCTATGATAAATACATATTTTATAGTGAAAGTCATTTCAAAAAATGTAAACAAATATAGAATTCTAATTAATAATATACACATTTAAGTGATTAGAAGGGAAGTATACTAATGTTTACAATTTACTTTGAAATACATCAAAACAGAAGATGGATTAATGGTAGGTATACAAAAATTTACTGCAAAATTCTTTCAACTTTGTGGTGTGTTTGAAAATATAAAATGTTGGTAAAAATGAATATCACTTTAAATGTATTATCTTTTTTATTTATATAAGTAAGATGACCAGGCACATTGGTTCACTCCTGTAATCCCAGCACTTTGGGACGCCAAGGCAGGTGCATTGCTTGAGGCCAGGAGTTCAAGACCAGCCTAGGCAACATGGCAAAATCCCATCTCTCTACTAAAAATTAAAAAAAAAAAAGAAAGAAAGACACAAAAAAGAAAATTAGCTGGCCCTGGTGGTGCATGCCTGTAGTCCCAGCTACTGGGAGGCTGAGATGGGAGAATCACCTGAACCCAGGAGGTCGAGGCTTCAGTGAGCCAAGATCACACCACTGCAGTCCAGCCTGAGCGACCAGAGTGAGAACCTATCTCAGAAAAAAAAAAAAAAAAAAAAAGGAAAAGATGTTCATTTTAAGAGAGCATGAAATAAACACATTAAGAAAAAGTTAGTAATTTCTCTGACATACTCCTCACCAATTCCACTCTGCTGGGAAGGTATTTTTTGTATCTTTCCACATTTTTATGATCATAAATTTAAAGGAAACTTTTTTCATAAGATTTTATCATCCATATTACTTGACAACCCCTGTTTTTTACACTTGGAAAGGTAATTTTTGTTTAAAAACTAAAGAATGACATCTACCTCTTACTAATGAACCTATAAGTCACAAATAAATTTTCTTTATAGATAAGATAGAACATAGCTTTTTCCCATATGTGATTTTTATTATTACTCAAAATTTTAGGAGCCTTCATAGCAAGAAATAAAATACTTTGGTTTTTAAAATACTTTCATTATTTTTATATTAAAATGCAACACAGCTTGGTGCCTGTGTGTCCTACTGTGAGCTAGTATTTATTACCATCTCCTCCCACGGATTCCAAGTCCACTCACCTCTGTCTTTGGTGGTGTAATTGCTACCATTACACTTGAGGTCACTTTCTGCAGCCACCACTGTAGCCTAAGTTAAAGATAAAAATGTACCTGAGATTCACAGCATCTGAATATGCAGGACCACAATTCCTATTCACATATGTACATTCAATGTAAAGAAAACAAAACAAAATAACAAGTGACAAAACTGTACCAGTATAGCTTGTGTAAGGGGTTGTTACCTACCCCACAGAAGCAGACTGGACTCTACTCCAGATTTTCAAGGAAACTATCTTTTGTTAATGCTTTGAAAATGTCTTGTCATTTTCTCCGCTTTTTCTTTATGAAACTCCTATTTTCTTAGGATACTGAACCTCCTAGATTAAGCCTCTAATTATTTTAGCTTTTCTCCCTTATTATCCATTTCTTTAATGTTACTTCTTACTGGGTGTTTTCCTTGACTTCATCTTCCTGAATGAGGAGCATTCTTAATTTCAACTATAATTTTTAATTTATAAGTGCTTTTTGCTCTGACTAGACTGGTTTCATTAATTTGCATTCTTATTTTATGTCACTAAACATATTAAACAGCAATACTTTATAGCATTTTTTCCATTCCTTGATTTGCCTCTGTTAACTCTTAGTGTCTTTTTATTATTATCTTTTGGGGCAGGGGTTGGTTTGTACCTGTACTTTTCATGTTGAAGGTTTTCCTTAAATATCTGGTCAATTTCTCCTATTTAAAAACAAGACATTAAAATGCTGACTGGAGGCCCCACTCTATTGGTGGCATCTTAGTTCATTTTGTGCTGTTAGAACAAAATGCCACTGACTAATTTAGAGCGAGCAGAAATGTATTCTCTCACAATTTAGATGGCAGGGAAGTCCAAGATCAAGGCAGTGGCATCAGGTGTGGGACTTCTTACTGCATCCTTACATGATAAAAGGCAGAAGGGCAGCAGGGAACCAGCTCCCTCTGTCAAGGCCCTTTATCAGAGCACTAATCTCATTCATGAGGGAGGAGTCCTTGCAGTCTAATCATCTCCTAAAGGCTCACCTCTTAATACCATCACATTGGTAACACCTGGGTTTTGGAGGGGACACATTCAAACCACAGCAGTAGGGCTTGACAACTAGTGAATCTCACTGTACAGCATTGGGCAGGCATCCAGGTTTTAATTTTTTAAGTTTTTAGGTTTTTATTTGTAGGTCTGGTCAGTTCCTGAGTTTCCTAAGAGAAGAATCCTCCAATCTTGTCCTTGGGATAGAAGGCTGGCTACTAGTATGTTCAGCTTAGATGATGGAAGACCTCCTCATTAGATACAACGTGTTTCTTGTATTTCCCTGGTTTTCTATCCAGCACCGAAGCACTTCTCTCCTCTGTGCTTGGTATCCACAACTCCAAAAACTGTTTCTGCAATTCCTCTAAGAAATGGATCTCTCAGCTCTCTTAGGGCACAAGAAGAGTAGTCATCTAATTTCTCGGAATGAAGGTGGGCATTGGCATCTAATTGCTCCTTAAACAAATAGTCTTCTTGTTCTCAGCCTCCTCTCCTCCAGGCTTTGGGCTTCCATTTCTGAGAATTCCTGGAATTTGGCAGGGTAAACTACCAAGCTTCTCAGTGGTAACCTCCCTCCTCCCCTCCACATACACACTTGTAAGTTTGACCTTTGATCTGCCCAATGGTTGAAATTCACCCAACCATGTGCAATCTTCATATATTATAGTTTGAAGTTTTAGGTGTTTCCTGGTTTCATTAAAGATAAAGTTGAGCACCTGTAATTGTGCTGTGGTTGTTACTGTTCTTGTTATTTTGTGGTAACTTCTGAGAGGAGAATTGGGCAGAGCCATCGTTACTTTTACCTCCCATCTTATAACTGATAGAGCTTCTTATTAGTAGAGGAAAGATTCTTGTTTATTTTCTTAGGTGAGAATAGAAAATTACTCTCTTCTAGTTGGAAAAAGCCTGTCATATGTATATTTCTTCATATTCTCAGCATGAATTCTAACCTAAATGATTTCTTTCTTTTGATGCCTAACACATACAAAGTTAGGAAAGCAAAGGCAGGAAGCCAAAATGAAACACTTTTCTTTTTCTCCCTGGCAGTCCCTTAACATTTTGGGCTTCATACAGTATCTCCACTAAATAACAGAGGGAGAAACTGAGATAGAAAGCGAATCCCAAAGTGTTGAAGGTGATTACGCCATCGAAAGCTAATGTCTGCCTGTAAGACGGGGATTTCAACCCCAAGTTTTCTTTCTAGAACGCTAAGGGCAGGCAGGAAAATTATGAGGAAAGAAAATACTTAGGATTTAGTAAAACAGATACCAAACTTTACATATGAGTTTATTTCTTCACAATATTTTCTATGTTATATTCTAAGAACAAAAGCACACAATCTTATCCTGGGTAAGAAGCAGCTTCTGTTTGACACACATGGTTAGCATGTGGATAATACCACCACCATCTTTCTAATTGGACTGGAGTTCATATCTTTTCTCATTTGGCTGCCATTCATCCAAACCACCTCCCACTCTTCCTTTTGTGTCCAGAATTGCGAGCAGTGAACCCTCGCAGTGAGTGTTACGGTTCTTTAAAATGGTGTGTCCAGAGTCTGTTCCTTCAGATGTTCAGATGTGTCTGGAGGTTCTTCCTTCTGGTGGGTTCATGGTCTTGCTGACAGGAGTGAAGCCGCAGGTCTTCGCGGTGAGTGTTACAGCTCTTAAAGGCAGCATGGACCCAAACAGTGAGCAGCAGCAAGATTTATTGCAAAGAGCTAAAGAACTAAGCTTCCACAGTGTGGAAGAGGTTCCCAGCGGGTTGCCGCTAGCTGGGGCAGCCTGCTTTTTGTCCCTTATCTGGTCCCACCCACATCTTGCTGATTGGTCCATTTTACAGAGAGCTGATTGGTCCGTTTTGACAGAGTGCTAATTGCTGCATTTACAATCCCGAGTTAGACACAGAGTGCTAGACAGAAAAATTCTTGAAGTCCCCACTAGGTTAGTTAGATACAGAGTACTGATTGGTGTATTTACAAACCTTGAGCTAGATGCAGAGTACTGATTAGTGTATTTACAAACCTTGAGCTAGACACAGGGTGCTGGTTGGTGTATTTACAATCCCTTAGCTGGACTTAAAGTTGTTTTCCAAGTCCCCACTAGACCCAGGAGCCCAGCTGGCTTCACCTAGTGGATCCCGTACTGGGGCTGCAGATGGAGCTGCCTGCCAGTCCTGTGCTGTGCGCCTGCACTCCTCAGCCCTTGAGTGGTTGATGGGACCGGGTGCCACAGAGCAGGGGGCAGCACCCATCGGGCGGCATGGGAGCCCTCTGCAGAGGTGGGGGCTCGGGCATGGTGGGCTGCAGGTCCCGAGAGCCCTACCCCCTGGGGAGGCAGCTGAGGCCTGGCGAGAATTTGAGCCCAGTGCATGCAGGCTGGCAGTGCTGGGGGACCCAGCGCAACCTCTACAGCTGCTGGCCTGGCTGCTAAGCCCCTCACTGCCCTGGGCCGGAGGCAGCAGCTGGCCACTCCAAGTGCGGGGCCCGCCAAGCCTGCACCCATGCCCGCCAGAACTCGCGATGGCCTGTGAGTGCTGCGCACAGCCCCGGTTCCTGCCGGCGCCTCTCCCTCCTCACCTTCCACCAACAGAGGGAGCCGGCTCCAGCCTCGGCCAGCCCAGAAAGGGGCTCCCACAGTGCAGAGCTCCTCAAGCGCCATCAGAGTGGACACGGAAGCCGAGGAGGCACTGAGAATGAGGGCTACTAGCACATTGTCACTTCACACTTTGTCTGAAAATTTCCCACTTTGAAAGTCCTGTTTGGAAGGAGAGTTATTTCTCACTACATAGGCTGAGATGCTGAGGCTGTCAGATTCACAATTTCCCAAGTCAACCTTGCAGGTAGAGTGCCGGTGAGAGGTGACAATGTGCCAGCAGCTCTTGCTCGCTCTCGGCACCTCCTCGGCCTCTGTGTCCACTCTGGCCATGCTTGAAGAGCCCTTTAGCCCACCGCTGCACTGTGGGAGCCCCTCTCTGGGCTGGCCGAGGCTGGAGTCGGCTCCCTCTGCTTGCAGGAAAGTGTGGAGGGAGAGGCCTGGGCAGGAACCAGGCTGCGCTGCCCTTGCTCGCACTCGGAGTGGCCAGCCTGCGCTGCTGACCCCTGGCAGTGAGGGGCTTAGCACCCTGGCCAGCAGCTGAAGAGGGTGTGCCGGGTCCCCCAGCACTGCCAGCCCACCCATGATGCGCTGGAATTCTCGCTGGGCCTCCGACGCCTACCTGCAGGGCAGGGCTCGGGACCTGCAGCTGGCCATGCCCGAGTCTCTCCCCATGCCTCCCCCACCCCCATGGGCTCCCGGGCAGCCTGAGCCTCCTCAACTGTGCCGCCCCCTGCTCCGCAGCATCTGGTCCCATGGACGGCCCAAGGGCTGAGGAATGTGGGTGCGTGGCGCAGGACTGGCAGTCACCTCTGCCCACAGCCCCAGCGAGGGATCCACTAGGAGAAGCCCCCTGGGCTCCTGAGTCGTGTGGGGACTTGGAGAACTTCTATGCCTAAAGGATTGTAAATGCACCAATCAGCACCCTGTGTCTAGCTCAAGGTTTGTAAATGCACCAATCAGTGCCCCACGTCTAGCTAATCTAGTGGGGACTTGGAGAATTTTTATGTCTAACTAAAGGATTGTATTATGTCTAGCTCAAAGTTTTTAAATGCACCAATCAGCACCCTGTCAAAAAGGACCAATCAGCTCTCTGTAAAATGGACCAATCAGCAGGATGTGGGTGGGGTCAGATAAGGGAGTAAAAGCACGCTGCCCAAGCTGCAGCGGAAATCCACTTAGGTCCCCTTTCACAGGGTGGAAGCTTTGTTCTTTCCCTCTTTACAATAAATCTTGCCGCTGCTCACTGTTTGGGTCCACACTGCTTTTATGAGCTGTAACACTCGCTGCGAGGGTCTGCAGCTTCACTCCTGAAGTCAGCGAGACCACGAATCCACCAAAAGGAAGAAACTGCGGACACACCATCTTTAATAACTGTAACACTCACTGCAACGGTCCACAGCTTCATTATTGAAGTTAAC